TCATCAGACTGAACAGCTTTGAGTGATCTCTGTTTTTGTCACAAATAGCTCTCTCTCTGAGCTGTCCTTGTCACATCAGTCCTCAAGGGAGCACAGAGGCTGCAGCTTGCCGCCTCGCAGTCCAGGGAGCATGTACAGCACAGCTCTCCCGGCCCCGTGATTCTGAAGCCATTTCACCGTCGTGTCTCCACAATTCCTGTTTGTTTAATGCTTGTGCAGCAGCCTCTAAAGTGGGGCTGTCGTCCTGTGCGTCTTGTGTCTCAGATCAGGAAGGTGAGGCAGGAGAAGGGATGCCGTTTGTCCAAGGTCACAGCAGTGGTGGAGGGAAAATGGACCGTGGGCTGCTGCTTCCGGCCCAGGGCGGAGCTCAGACTCCAGCCCAGCAGGGTGCGCAGCAGATGCAGTCCCAAGACGCAGCCTGAAGCAGCTGGCTCTCCGGTTGGTCCTGTGAAGGCTCAGTTATGAGCTACGCTGCCTTAGCAACAGCTGGGTTGCAACGAGATGCAAACTACGAGTGAACAGATTCTCTCTGGATGTGTTCAAAGCCAGTCAGGACAGGCGGGCTGCGAGTGGCCAGTTTCCCTTCAAACCCCACATGCACAAGAAGCCGCATCACTGGTGGTGGCATTTCCAGCCAGCCAGACGATCGAGCTTCAACATCTCACTTCCGAAAAGTAAGCTTAGCATCATAAAAGCACGCTAAGGAAGCGGAGTGAAGACTGAAAACGCAAATCTTCACAGCAGTGCAGTCAGAGATCGCCTGGACAGAGTCCTCACCCTCCTCTCCACCGTAGCCCCCCTGCCTGGAAGTGCTTGTAACTCCCCCAGGACCTGCTCTTTCTTTCACCCCACTGGCGACCCAGCCTTCAGATCCCCAGGTCACGTCCTGCCCAAGGCCGCCGGGACCTCCTGTCCCGGGAGGTTCCAGCCTGCTGGCTCCGCTGTGACCTGTAGTCTGTCCCATGGAACCGCTAACAGAGGTCAGCGTCATGGCTCCTGGTTCCCACTCATCTCCGGGCTGGACCATGAGCACTGAGGAGTCAGGGCCGCCCGTCCACTCGACCAGTGGTCCTGGCATGGAGCATGGCGTTTGACACCTGGTGTGTGCCGACAACCAGATGTTGAGTGAATTAGTAATAGTAGCTAACAGTCTCCTGGTGTGTGTCAGGCACAGTTCTGAAGGCTGTTCTAAGCATGTGATCTTATTCAGTCCTCACAGGAACTGTGACGTTGGTACTAGTGTCACCACTTCAAGATGAGGCACAGAGAGGTCGGGGATTTGCCCAAGGTCACACAGCCAGCGAGGGCTGAAGCCAGGACTGAGAATTAGGCATTGTGACTCCAGGTGCTGTGAGCGGATGGATGAGTTTCCTGGAAGCCAAGACAGAACCTAAGTTAATACACATTATATTTCTCATCTCCGTTCCTCTGGGAAACGAATGTTTTCTGGGTCCTGGTTTCTGAGAGGATACGTATCGTGATACGGCATCGATGACCTGGTTGTGCGTGTCTTGAGGGGTGGTGCAGAGACGCTCCTAGGGTCTGATCCCCTAACGGCCCTCGGAAAAGCCTGGAACACCGTCTTAGCTTGCACCTTAAGGGGAGCACGGCTGCGTGTGGCCGGCCACTGTGCTGAGGTGAGGTGGTCTGTGCCCTCAGCTTGGTCGGGAGCAGGACGTCCCCGCAGATGTAGGGACCTCACAGGCCTCGCACGCACAGTGGCGTGCGAGGAACCCAGCTCGACCTAACACCCCTGTGGAGAAATCCTGGGTCATTGCTGCTTGGGCGTCTGTTATGGAGGAATGTGAGGGGCGTCAGTTCAGAATTAAGCGTCCTCTCTTAGCAGGTGACACCTCCTTGTCTGTACGTGAAAGCCTGCGGGTCAAGAGCCTGAACTCCACCGGGCCAGAAGCAGGCTTCTCAGCCGGCACGCACCTCCTCCTGTGGTGTGTCCTCCTCAGTGCAGCTGGAAAGCCCCCACCACGTGGCTCCCACCCCCCGGCCATGCTCGCACGGCTCCCTCATCTTGGGGGCTCCTTTCTCGATTCAAGGCGCCCGGGTTCCACATCCATTGCTGTTGGGTGTAGGTTCGGATCAGTTCTTCTTGGATCTTTATCTCACCTTTCCTCCTTTTTAAAAATATTTTGTATTTTTTTTAAATAAAGACCAACAAGGAGAGTCAGCACTAACGGCAATGGGGAGAAAACTGGGCGTGAGTCCCAGGTGCCATCCCCCCACCCAGCCCTGTGTTGCCCTCACAGGGTCTGGCTCAGTCGTGAATCATCCGTCAGACCAAGGAGCTTGAGCGGATGGTCTGTTGGCTCTTCCAGCTCTAAAATTCTGCGACTCCTTTGGAAATGTCTTTGAACGCATCAAGCCCTCAAGAGTTTGTTCTGGTCTAGAGAATTGTTTTAATTTTTGTTGCACTGATCCCTCACTGTTCTGCTGAGTAATGACTGAGGACTTCCTCTGAGGCAGGCGCCGTGCCGAGCGTTTGCTCACACAAACTCCTCTCGTCTTCACAGTAGCCACACTGCTACTGCAGATCTTAAAGTGAAACTCCCAGGCTTGGCCACCTGCGATGATTTGCCCAGTCCACGCGGGAAGCGTGTGGTCAGGCAGGCCCAGCCCCGTGCACTCTACCCTCCCCGGGGATCGAGGGGGGACAGAAACTCAGTTCTGTTGTCCATCTTCCCTCCCTGGCACATTCACACGATGGACACCCAGCTGGTTTGATGTTTTATTTTTTAGCGAGTAAATCAAACATCTCAATCTTCTTCCCCTGAGGAACTCATTCTTGGAGACGTCTTCTCAGCTCCCTTAGCCTAAGCTGGAGTGTTTTTATGCTTCGGTTTTTGAACTTAGTCTTTATGCTTCTGGATGAACTAGATTAAGCCGTAGAAGTTACTGCAGAAACATTTTTTGGTGCGGTTTTTCCAAAATCAAGTCACAGTCCATGAGCATATGTGGGAAACAAATGAGATGTGTTCTTGGTTACTAGTATCATCTACCTCATTAAAATTACCCATTGGATCTGGGTTTCTTTTTGTTTTTAAGATTCTGAGAAAACTTGGGTGGATTTTTAAACAAACTCATTGTTTGAAAACCACCTGTAAGCCACTGAGCGCTGCAGATGGCGGGATAGGGGGAGGGTTGGATGGGGTTGTGGGGGAGAGGCTGGAGATGCTATTGGGGTTACTCGACTCTGTTTTCCTTCTGCTAGAGACCTCCTTCCCTCGCTGTCGGCCCTGTGATCTAAGTTCACCTTTTTCACTCCTTGTCTGTTGGGGTGCCCATGACCCCGTGCTCTGACAGGGCTGAGGGGTCATGTAGGACACCGGCCCCGGACGGCTCCCTCCTCCAGGCGCCCGTTGATGGTGCTTGTCCTGGGACCCTGGAGAAGGCTCAGGAGCTCAGCGGTGTCTCCCGGGAGAGCTGAGCTGAGAGGAGGGACTTTCTATGTGGTGTCAGCTAGCTTTCTGGTGATCTTGAATGCCGAGGAAAGTGGCAGGAAACGTGCCAACGCTGTGGTCTTCGGTGTTGCCGGGGAGCCGAGAGGCCTTTGATGGTTGGGACAAGTGGGGTGTGGCCTCCCCTGGACCTGAAATGAAAGCCAGGGGCACAGGGAACCGGGCAGCTCTCCAACACTTCCTTTTCCCGTGAATGTGCTTTTAACTCCTCTCTTGGGCCCCGATTCTCTTATAAACTTTTTCTTGATATTGTTTTATTTTGATTGCTTGGGTTACAGTGATATTTTCACTGGGAAAAAGGATGGAGTTCATCATTTCATGACTGTTAGAATACTTCCCAAATGCAATTTTGTCACAGCGGTGGGCTGCATCCGGCTGGATCTCTCAGGTGACAATTGGTAGCTAATGTCCCTCGAATCTGCAAGTATGAGCTGGGCTGTGCAGGGCCGAGGCCGGTGCGCCCTCCCTGGCTGTGGTGTGTTTAAACATTGCCTGGGTAAGGGGCCAAGACGCTGCCCTGAGCTCACTGAAGTGCGTGAGGCTGTCATACTGCGATTTTCCTTATATCTAGAGACTTTGTCTTCGGTAGTGTACTCCGAGAGCAAACCTTCTCCGTTAACCACACTTTCCCTTTCCCATGTGGTTCTGTTTATTCTCTCCTGTGGCGGCTTTTATCAGTTTGGGTGTTGTTTTGAGAAAAAAGGAAAGAACCAAAAGGAGCTTGTAACCCTGCACACCCTGATCGTGGTGCCAATTGGTCTATTTCGGTGCACAGTGTAAAGTCCCCCTTCCCTCCCGCCAGGACCTGTGTTCTGAGGAGGAGGAAGGATGCCTCACTTGTCTGCATGACGCCTTATCCTAAGGATATTCCCGTGTGAGCGCAGAGTTGGGTCCAGCAGCCCCTTTTTCTGAATCTGTGGTGTGTGCGTGTGTATCTGTGTGTACGTGTGGTGTGTGTGTGCGCGTGTGTCTCTGTGTATATCTGTGTGTCTATCTGTGTGCGTATGTGTGTGTGCGTGTATCTGTGTGCATGTGTGTCAGTGTGTGCGTGTGCATGTGTGCGTGTGTCTGTGTGTGTCTGTGTGCGTGTTTATCTGTGTACCTGTGTGTGCGTGTGTGTATCTGTGTGCGTGTGTCTGTGTGTGTATCTGTGTGTATCTGTGTGTGGTGTATCTGTGTGCGTGTGTATGTGTGTATCTGTGTGTGTGTATCTGTGTGTGCGTGTCTGTGTGTCTGTGTGTGTATCTGTGTACGTGTGTATCTGTGTGTGCATCTGTGTGCTTGTGTATCTGTGTGTGTGCATCTGTGTGTCTATGTGTGTGCATGTGTATCTGTGTGCGTCTATGTGTGTGTGTGCATCTGTGTGCGTGTGTATCTGTGTGTGCGTGTGTCTGTGTGCGCGTCTGTGTGGTCACAGGGTGAGTTCTCCCCAGTGCGCCTGGGCTCTCAGGACGGGCAGGCGGGTGAGAAGGTCGGTGAGGCCCCGCGGGCGCCCGGGCCGGCACTGACTCGGCCCTTGCTGTCTTCCAGGAGCTGTGCCGGCAGCGCATGGCTGTGCGCACATCTGACCGCCCCGAGGCCCCGCACACGTCCCGCGTCAGCAGTGTCTCGTCTCAGTTCAGCGATGGGCCGATGCCCAGCCCTTCTGCAAGGAGCAGCACCTCGTCCTGGTCCGAGGAGCCCGTGCAGTCCAACATGGACATCTCCACTGGCCACATGGTCCTGGTAAGGCCCCCCATCCCCTCCACAGGGAAACCGGGTTCAGACCGGCTGTCCACAAGGAGAGCAAAAGCGAGGGGTTTACAGTGTCCCCCTCACCAGCACACGCACACGCCCCCTTGGCTCCTGCACCACCCAACCTCAGCACCTTTCACAACCGTCCATGACGGTGCACTTGGTGACCAAATCTGACCTGTTAGGCAGCTGACAAGCAGGAGGAAAAAACCCCACATGTCAGGGCTCCCGTGCACTGCTCCTCTCGTTTACATGAGCACGGGAATGTGCGTGACCGGGGTCTTCTCCATTCTTCTGCTCTGAATGCCCCGCCCCACGCACTCCTGATCGTGTGAGATTTTGCCCTGGTCATGTTGTTTTCCGCGGTGGCATGCCCGTGGATCAACACCTACTGTGTGCACTGCTTTTTCAGCCTCTGATAGACGGCAGTTGTTCCCGGCTCACCGAGCATCGTTTGGGTGGATTAATGTCACACACATGCTGTTTATAATGAAAAGTGATGCCAGGAAGAGGTGGGGGCTTAGAGCTCAGCTCCTTCATCAGAAGCATTGCTGGAGGCCCTGGTGCAGAAGTCTCTCGGGGTGAACCTGCCCCCTGTCCTGCCTTGTCTTTCCTCAAGCTGAGCCTTGTCCTTGGAGGGCCACGCACAAGTGCCTATGCACTGCCACGTGGTGCACAATTAGTATCCGAGTTTTCTCGAGAGAGGATCATAACTCAGCCCCTCTTACCGGCCGTGTCCTGAAGACAGCAGAACGTGCACTCCTGGATCTCCAGGCCGAGGGACCTGCTGTTTAGTGGTTGCAGAGCTGAGACTAGAAGCGTGCCAGACGTGCGTCCTCATCCTGGGGACGGATCTTCTGAGCGAGGGTAGAGCCCAGTGTCGTTGCTGTAGATGCAGCTGCTGCACGGGTGCATCAGGGAAGCAGTTTTCATAGGACAGTTAATTTCCCAAATCTCAGTATGGGATGGGTCCTGCTAGTTGTTGTTATTTTTGCTGAACATTTATTGTTGTGGAAACCTTTCTTACTTGTTTATTTAATCACAGCACAGACTGGTGGATTTAGACCACAGAAGCCAGTGTCTTAGTCGGTGCAGGCTGCTATAACAGAAAAAACACAGACGGGGTGGCTTATAAACAACAGACATCTATTTCTCACGGTCTGGAGCCTGGAAGTCCGACATCAAGGTGCTGGGAGATCTGGAGTCTGGCGGGGAGCCCTCTTCTGGTTCTCTCTGTGTCCTCGCAGGGCGGAGGGGGCGAGGACGCTCTCTCGGTCTCTTTGATAAGGGCACTAATCCCATCGTGAGGCTCCGCCCTCATGACCTCATCGCTCCCAAACCCCACCTCCTGATACCATCACAGGGGGTCACAGGGGTCAGGATTCACCATATGAGTTTTGAGGGACTCAAACATTCAGCCTGTAGCAGCCAGGAAACCATGTTTTCACTCAAAAGCCTCATTGCAGAGCCTATAGACCAAGCCCGGGGATGCCCCTAACGACCTTGGTGGAGCTGAGGCACACCCCAGGGCGGCTCTCACTCCTGGGACGTCCGAGTCTGTGGGGCGGGAAGCACACAAGGGTAGACCCATTTGGCCCAGACGTGGGGAGACCTATGAACCCAGCAGCTGGCCTCGGAAATAACTTAAAATGAAGCAAAGTCAAGAAGTTCAACCTCACTAATCTACTGAGCGGAGATGACACATCTTTCCTCTCCGCCGTCTCTGCCTTCCATCTCCCTCAAACCTTCAGGCCACCCCAGGATGGAGGACGCTCATGGCTCAGGCTGCCTGCCAGTAATACTCTTCCTGTCAGTGTGCGTGGGACCAGATAGAGACTCCTCGAGTCTTCCACACTCAGGAGCAGACAGCTTGTTGCTCATTTAGCGAACGTGTATTGAGTTGCTGCTGTGCGGCCACAGTCACGAACTTTGAAAGAACCTCTTCTCTTGATGCATAGCAGTTATATTACTTTAGATCTGACTTTTCAGAGAATATTTCCACATTTGTCCCTTTTAGAAAAGGAAGCTCGACCAAAAGTTGAGATTTCTAATGAGATTCAGTCTTAGGGCCAAACACATCAGCCAAATATGTTTATCTGACAACAGCTAAGGGGAGATTCATTTAGAGAGCTGTCATTGTATTCCGGTATTATCGTATTTCAAGACACTTGAGTTACAATTTGATGATATCTCAAGTCCAAATGGGACGTGAAGATATTGTATTTTTCACAGGAAATTGTATTTTGCCATTCACATGTATAATGGCTAATGCGAAAGGGAGAACCGTGGTTAATTGAAATGCCTAAGCCACAGGAGCTGACTCAGCCTGATAGGAGGTGTCCCCTGTAAGAGGTCATCTAACGCCAGGAGGCTCTGACATGAGCGTATCTCTAAGTGCACATCCACCACCCTACCCACCCGTCATGCCAGATCTAGAAACCCATTGAGACGTGGAGTATGACTTCAACCGTCTCCCTTGACTCCCTGCTCCAGACTGTTAATTCAAGGATCTTTCTCAAGAACCAGGGCTTGTTTACATTGGATGTCACCAAATATATTCCCTGACTCCAAGGAAGCGGCAGTGGAGAGCAGGAGCTGGTGAGTGTGAGAGAGAGCTGTGCACAGCGCAGCAGCCACGTGGACCTGCGTTGTTCGTGGACCTGAGTGTCTTCTCCTCTCTCGTGTCCTGATGTTCTGCCCTTTGACCTCACTTTGCAGATGAGTTTGGGTGCTCTCAAACCCCGTGGTTGTCTTCATCTCAAGCATTTTCCCTTGTTCGGGAACTGAGAGACTAGGAGGCACATGGCATATGTGAACCCCATTAGCATTTTTACAAAACTTCTCACCCACTAAAAGCAGGTAAAATGACTCATCTTTTAGGCTTGGAGACTGCTGCCCATTCTCATGGCTAAGGCCCTGGATCACATTTTGAGTAGACCAGAGTTGTGTTCAGAAGTAACTGGCACTCTTGTCATTGGCTCGTAAACGGCTCTCTCCCTCCTCAGCACAGGTGGTAGAAAACCTGCGTGTGTCAGGACCTCAAGAACATGCTGGAATACCTGACCTTCTAACTCATTAAGGCTACAAGGAAGGCAATTCTACAGTGATCAGTCAGCCCGACCCTCCGTAAGGAAACTTCTGTGTTTATCAGACAGCGAACATGATCTTCCTGAACTACATGCTTAGAACTCAGAGACCATCAGATAAATTATTCGAGGTCTGGGCACATCCCAGGAACCAACTGTTCCTGATATTCAGTTGCACCCATGAGCGTCATGCAGAGGTGACCTTTTAACTTAAAGTTATGATGGAATCAACAGCAAAGCTATTTACATTTGGACAACAGCGTGGAAGTGAGGAGGACCCCACAAAGTGGAAGGAAGTTGGCCAGGTTATCTGGAAAACATACTTGTCACCAAGGCCTGTCACCAGTGTGCAAAATTGGAGCACTTTCTTTAGCAAAGGACAGAAAGCATTCTTGAAGGAATGAGCAGTGTAGGGACTTACAACGTGGACTCCTGACCCATCACTGAGCACCGTCAGGGCGGCTGGTCTTGGGAAGGCAGGGCTGAGGCCCTTGGAGGTACCCTCAGACCCCAAGCACCCTTCTCTCTCTCCTGGTCACGTTCACTCTTTCCACTGTGGTGTGCAAACGGGGCGTGCTGTTGACAGCACAGACTCTGGGGTCCCATAAACTTGGGAGCAAAGCTGGGACGCTTAGCTATTTCCTGGTTCCGTGTCCCTGGACAAATCCTTAACCTCTGTTTTCTCATCTGCAAAACAGGCTTCATAATCACGGCTCCTATTGGGGTTCCTATGGGGATCAGACAAGACGAGCATTGTAAATGCTCATTGCTGCTCGTTGTAAAACCCCACATGTCATTTACCTGCGATTGTAATTATTAAGCTGGAAAAGATCGTGGCAAAGAAACGGAACCAACTTTCTTTTGATGAGATTAAGGGAAAAAAGGCCTTATCCACAGGGAAAATGTCACGTCCCCCTGGAAAACAGGTGGCCCTGGCACAGAGGGAAGGGTGTTTTTGGGGATTTGCAGGGTTGAGAAGTGCAAGCCCATGAAGGGGGTGTCCAGAAGGGTGGGACTGTGGACCCCGCCCCCGACGAGTTGAGGCCATGCTGGGTGTGAGAAAGGTGGCAGGCGAGGCTGGGCCTGGTGTGGGGTGGAAACTCCACATGTCCACAGAAGGCATGGAACAGCTGGGGGCGGGGTGGGAAGGGAAACACCATTTACCAGGCACATGGCCATGTCTGATCAGGGCGAGTTTGAACTCAGAAGAACAAGGAACCTCATTAGAGTGGCTCCAGAACTATGATAAACACGGCTTCTTAAGAAATTCCATCTCATCCTTTCACGAGGTGAAGAATCACCTTTGAATTTATTTTTTAGAAAGATCTGTGTGTATAGCACATTTGTTTCAGAAGGCTGACGTTTCAGCATGATGGCCTTGTGTGCAACGTTGAGAGCAGGTTTCTGTCCTAAATTGCTGAGCATGGGAGCTGGCGTGACGCAGCATTAAGAGGAAACACTTGGGCTGGCCCCATGGCTTGGTGGTTAAGTGCTCGCACTCCGCTACTGGCGGCCTGGGTTCGGAACCCGGGCGTGCACCGATGCACCGCTTCTCCGGCCATGCTGAGGTCGCGTCCCACGTACAGCAACTAGAAGACTGTGCAACTATGACATACAACTATCTACTGGGGCTTTGGGGAAAAAAAAATCTGTTGAAGTATGTCTTTGCTTTAAAAAAAAAAAAAAAGAGGAAACACTCGCACACGTGTGTGCAGACAGAGGGGCTTCAAGGACACGTCTCTGACTCCTTGTTTGCAGGCTGGAAAGCTAGAGAAGAACAGTCTTTGGGGAGTGGAAATATGAAGAGAAAGTTGGTTTGATGCTTTCTCCAGTAGACGTGAGGAATGTAGAACTTGATTCAGGAAAACGGTACTGAAGAGTCCTTTTTAAAACTGCGCCTTCATC